AGATCTAAGTTGGTTTTGTTTACTTAAATAAGACGAATCTTCAAAATTCCATATAATTATTTCATATATATTTGGGAGTTTCGCTCTTTAATAGCATTATATTTCCTAAAGATGCCATAATTTATTATTTATGGCCCCAGGTGACTTTAATGTAAACACATTTTACTTTTATTTTTGCTAATAAACATATTTATATACATAAGTATATTAGGGTGAAGCGGAAAAAAACTTTGTACTGGTCATTATTGGAGTTTTAAAAAAAGTCTTAAAATATGATAAAAATAAATTTTGAGTCAAAAACAGTCACATTCGGTAATTTTTATATAAATGTAAAGAGTTTAAACCAATAATAATTTTTTCTTGCCCAAAAAAACTATTTACTCGAAATTTACTTTTAAACTGAGTGCGCCGCCTCTAGATGTTAAATTTTCTTTTTTTATAATCTACAGATTTTACCCCACAGCTAAGCAAAAAAAAAAAATTTCGCTCCACCCAAATGTATGTAAATAAATACGTAAGCATGTTCAAATTGAAAAGCAAAGCATAAATTGTTTTTGCCAATATCGATAACTTTCGTTTGGCGCTTTCATTAAGCTTCTCTTTGGCACCGATAATAGCACACTGAGTCGAGACGCCGTCAAACTTTAAACGCGCATTCTTTCATTTATTTCTCGTTTGAAACACATTCACTTCATAAATATGTATTGTCATTTTCAACTTGTCAGATTTCAAAATTTGCATACGGATTTTTGTCGAAATTCAGGTGAGCAATTTCGATCCAAAGACGAATGGATTACTAATACATACTCGTACATGCATAATATATCCGTTATCATACTTGCAAGTAGTTATAAAATATGTGATTGGAGACTGTATTTAAAGGCAACGAACGTAAGGGCAATGTGGATCTATCGATCAATTGGATAATCCAACTGTTGTTTTAGTTTATATGGAGATCTTAACCTATAACATACCTTAAAATACTTCACTTCTATACAAGTGCTGAGGATCTTCATAACCGATTTTTATATTCATACATTTCACAAACTTGTATTAAGAGTCAGTATTAGTACTGACTACCATAAATACAAAATTTGAAGACAATAAATTTGTATATTTGGCAAGCACTACTTATATTATTTTGTAAAAAAGTCTTTCTTGGATATGTCTTTTTTCTTTAAACTATGCTATTTACTTATATGTACTAAATTTTTGTGCTTTAAAAACTGACAAAACTGCCCACTATTGTTTAGTAAACATTTTCAGTTGCGAATATTGAAAGTTGTATAACTTACTAAAAGAAATTGGGAAGTGGATGATAGAAGAACATTGAAAACTAAGCTGTCTTACACACATATAAATAAGAATGATAGACCAATAGGCCATGAAAACCAAATATTCAATTTTTTTTGGAATTCGAAAGAAGCTGGAAGATTCGTTAGCATCGCATTCTTTCTACGAAACATTTTTAACTAACTTGAAACCTGTTTTTATTGCTAAATACAACCGCCCCAGTAGCGAAACCGGCACTAGTAGTCACTATAACAAAATTAGGAGTAACAACAACAGCAGCAGCATTAGCAATAACAATAACAACAGCAAAAACACAGCTGTAGTGCGAGCATTTGGGCTTCATATTGTAGCATAAATGATTCTGTGATGTCATATTGCGAGACAAAGCAGTGCGGTAATGACCTCCGAATATGTGCCCATTCATTCACACATGAGAAGCATGACTTACTCGCCAATCAAACAAACTATGTACATTCCTACGTATCCACGTCGGTGGCTATGTAGGTCTGCAAACGTTGCTGTTTGGTTGGGTACTTTCGTATACCGCGCGACTCCATATTTACAATAATAATAATCGCCTCTTGCTTGCTATGAATGTTTCCTAGACGACAAATACGAGAATCTGGGCTCATACAAACCCATTCGTTGTTCTGCAAAAACTGTGAGAATGTGTGTGAAGGAATCCCTCTTTGTCTTGCCCTCATTTGAAATGGTTACCTATCACTTTTCAATTTGGAACTTTTTACGGGTTATCTTTCTGCAGCTTAAAAAACGTTCAATTTTAACTCTTCACCAACTTCAGTTGTAAAATGTAGCGAATACTCTGCAAGTTTGCTTCTTAAGTCTTTTGTTTATTCCGTATATTTCAATACCTCACCACGGCTTTTTGATGAACAAAAAAAATCTGACAAAGAACTTAATATTTTTCTGGATTCTCTAAAAATATAACCGGAAAAAGTATTTCAAGTGTATATCAGTATCAGGTTGGTAGGTTGGTTATCTGAAACTTTGGATACTATAAAGAAGGACATTTGAACGAAGTTTATTATATCAGTAATTGTTAGAAGAATTCAAGAATATTAAACTCCATTAAATTGTCGGTAGTGTTATGGACTTAACTATATTAAAAACATAACCAGTATAGTATCAGTATGGAGAAAATACAGCAGATTTACAATTTACTTTATAGAATCTTATGCCTTGTATGTAAACATTTTAAATTAGCGGTGCCTTTTCGACCTTAAAAAGTTAAGGTTTAAATCTGTAGCAATTGTTTCAGTCATTCAAAGAATGTTAACCACCAAAGTTTACCGAAACAGACAATTATGATAGATCTGAAAACTGAAAAACTAGACAACGTTTTTTGTTTTTGATTTATCGATAGGAAAATATTTCCATGACTGCTATCTGTAATATACCGATCTAAAAAAAACCTAATAGTAAACTATTTTGTGGGATACAAAACGAACTTTGACGGATAAATAAGTCTATTGGAAATTATCTATTTTAACAATCTCAATCTTCCATCTCTTAATAATGTGTTAATATTAATACAATAAGTACATATAACAGCTGTCAGGTTAGCTTTGAAGGCTTGAGACTGCTTGCTCAGAAATTAAAAAACCTGTTTTATGCAGAATTTTGCTCATATTGAAAATGTTTTTATAGGTTTAAAATTACAATTTGAATCTGAAATGCATATAGTTTTGTGCTTTTTTTTCAATTTGCCTTTAGAATATATTATATATATTTTACTTAATGAGGTTTAGCCAACTAACTACAAAACTAATTTAGGAATAGAAATATTTATTGTTATTGTATTTTAGCATAATATGACTTTCAGTGCAATTTACGTCATCCAGGTGATATCTAATAAGACTAGTACCTACAAAAGCTCATACAAGAGCTTTTTACTCACACTCAAGTAACAGTTTTTATTTAATGAAGAAAATATATGTGCGATTTTATGTGGCCTTCAGAATCACTACTTTAAGGAACCGCTTTTTCAGGACTGTTGTCACCAATATATTCATATTTGAAAACTTATATGAAAAGAAGATGATGCCTAGAGGCCGTTAGCCAATCGATATTGCTTTTTATAGACAGATGAAAAAATATATAATTAAAATTTATATATTTATATGCCAGTGTGAACGTGTATACTCAAATTTCAATTTAACTATTTGACATACCACGCATTTGAGTGATATATGGTAAGAATGGTCAAAGACATGGATATATAATATCATTATGCAAAATACATATGTAATATTTACTTCGAACAAGCTTGACATCGACATTTATAGCCATAAAAGGGCTGAAGAGACGTGAATAGAAATATATATTGTAAAAGTGATTATTTGTTTACTTTAGTTTTAGCCTTCTCAAAACTAACCTCGTGGACATATGAAAATTCTTTCTTATCCAAAATAACTTAGAGTATTCGCATTGAATATATATAATTTTAATTCACTTTGAGAAATGAGTATATTTGATTGTAATTTTTCTATTTCGAACCAATTCGAATTTAAAAATTTGGAAACTACATTTCGATAGAGAATATAAACCATATTGATTGGGAGCAGCAGCTGGTATTTACCCCTATGATATCATCTCCATATAACAAGCAGGATAATGTGATCTTCTGGGTAGGCAATAAGAAGTTTCCAGAAGATCCAATTCATAAAAATTTGCTATCGGATTGATATCAATGAAGCAGCATTTTCTTTTTTATTTAAAACGGGCGTGTTTTTCGGTAATTTATTCCTTCAAATTTTCCAAAAACACCATAAATAGTCACCGTTGACGGTTACTTCCTTTCAATATAGTTGAAGACTATTTCATGCACATTCACAAATACTACAAATACAACTTTACCTGCTGACTGTTGCGTCTTGTCACGCTTTGGATTTGGTTCCTTGCGTGCAGACCATTGCTCTCGATTCGACTCCGAAGCGTAACTATCGAAAGAAACGAACTTTTGAACTTAAAAATGGTCGATCTCAGAGCTGATGTATTACTCTTGTTGAAAGTGCAATCCTTACTTCAATGAACTCGCTAGGGCGCCACATCACTATTATACAAAATTTCAAAATCAGAAAATTATCATTGCATTCGACATTGATTCTATGGAAAGGTGTAATATCTTTAAACAAATTAAATAGAAATTGTTAAATATTGTTTTCAAAACAGTAACAGAACAAGTCAATGTCTTTATTAGCTAATGTGATATCAAAATTGGATGACTACGTTTACCCATCGTTATTTTTCATCATTCATTCCAATAGTAATCGGTTATAAAAAACAGAATTAAACTAAATTGGGTTTTAAAACTTAGAAAATTATGAGATATTCTGACATTAAAAAGAAAAATCCGGTTGACATCCGGCTGTGACAAATACGCCCCTTGAAGATATTTGAACCTACGCAAAATAGTAGAAATACCAAAAAAAGCTGTACTGGCAAAAATAATAAAACAGCACTCGCCAAGTTAACGCCATCGGGCATATTACAATTCCTAGGCGAATACTCCTCAGATAAGCCTTTTGAGCATTTAAGACAAAAGTCAAATTCGGCCCAAATAACACACAATCTCACAATTTACATACATACTAATGAATTAGTAAATATTTAATTTGAAGATACATTAAAACAGTTAAATACAAACTAAGCAACTACTTAACATTTACTACTTTGAATCTTGGCAGTTGTGGCACATCACGTTTCATGAATAAACAGCGTTGTAAAACAAATCCCGCCCAACCACACCAACTGAACTGATACGGCGTGTACATCTTTACACAAGGGAAAAGCGTGAAGTGGAATGCAACTCCCCAGCATAGCAGTCAAATGCATTCAATGAATCCGTCATATTACACGCTGGCGCTAGCTAAGTCAATCAAACAAAGAAAAACACTGATGACACCTATGACACTGACTAAGAGCAGCTGAAGTGTGAGGGCAGCATTTCAACGAAATTCTAGTGAGAAGAAACCAACGCCAAAATCTCCAACCAGTGGAAGTCGCAATCACAGTCGAATACTTTTATTACAAATACATAACATTGCCACAGACGTATCGATTTGAGGTCGATGTCCTTTATTTATGAATGTGTGTATGTACGTATGAAACTGTCTTCTATTACCACACAAACTCGCCAGAAAAATGTACCGCGCAAACTTCTATGAATCCACATGCCTGCGGTGCAACGAAATCGTCTATCAAGTGGATCGAGTGGGACCTCTCAAAGACTTCACATTCTTCCATTCTGGCTGTTTTAAGTGTGTCCATTGTGGCACAAAGTTAACACTTAAAACTTATTTCAACAATCAGCACAAGCAGGACGACAAGGAGGTGAGTATGAAGGTAGACGGATCAGTCAGGGGGAAAAGCTAAATTTCCATTTTCAGTCTTTAGAATATTAAAAAAATGCCAATTGCTCCACAGGAGATGTTCGAAATTCTAAGCAAGTTTTTGAAATCGAAGTGCGTTTTGTAAGTAAAACCCACTTTTGGCGCTCGTTAACAAAATATTTACTGTTTTACGAAATTGCTGAGCCGAAGAACTGCTTTGACTAAATGCCATAGCAGAAAAATGTTGTTGAAAGCAAACTAAAATTAGTATCCGGCATCTGTCTTTGCCTGCATATATTGTTGCTACGTGTGTTAGTTTTCCATGTTAGCCTACGATGGACTGCGATTTTGCGAGTGCTTATGCCTCCTCACAGACAGGTACTCTCAAATCATATACATAGCTACGCATATGCATGTATGAGTGCATGCATTTATCTGCTCACCTAGATATTATGCACGCTTCCACACACACACTCATTGCTCTACAGATATGGCACATAACGTTCGCCGTGGCCAGCTACCTTGTAGGGAAAACCTGAACAAGCAAAATGAATTTCTGGTTTGCATTAGCTATACACATACGTATGTACTTATGTAGGTAAAAAACTTTTAACATAGGTTTACTTTTTCTACTGGTGAGAACTGCTCACTTGCGAACTAGCTCAAATCTGGCGATATACTTTGCTATATGCAACTGTTATGTGTGTTAGATTACGACAATACGGAATAAAGAGCTTATTTTCATCAAAACTTAAGTTGTTGAACTATTAGAATTGGCCGTTAGCAAACCATAGGTTAGATTAGCAAAAGTCACTACTTGTCAGACTTTAAAACTCCCATAGTTAGAACCTAACTCAACTCTGCTTAGGCGTTTTATTTCTGTACCCGCTAGTTCAATGATACCTGAAGGAGTGAGATTCAAGGCAAATTTTACCTCCTCTACTTCCATACAACTTTTATTACTGACATCTAAAATATTGTTATTCTCTCCTTCTCCACGGCGATTGTACGTTACTCCGTGCGAAAAAGAATTAATTTCCTGATGTATGTTACCAAGTTTGCAGTTTCTAGCAACGTTTCATAATTTTTTAAAAAATAACATAAGATAAAGTTTTAGTGACGAAAAACGACGAAAATCAACTTTGCATGCTTCTGTTGGCTTTTAAGGGACAATGTGCTAACTACTTGCTGGAAGGAGCATAACTTATAAATTAAAGAACTCTCAGACATAGTGCTATAATGCATGTCATCAAAACTCAAACTCAAGGTCGTTACATATTTTATAAGCAATCCGAATAAATATTGTATTATTGTCTCAGTTGAGAAGGAGTAATGTGAATAATGTGAACTGTAATTACTTCATTTAGGTTTACTGTAGTTCACATGTACCAAAGAGTGGTCCTGGTCATTTAGATCAAACGTCGGTGGGCATAAGGCAGGCTTTGAATGCGCCCCGCACCAACAAATACGTCAATGACCAAATCCGCGGAACACGCGCCGAAGTTGACGGTAAGTATTGAATACCACATGCCAATAATTACTACTCATTTCTTAGAAATATGATAATGCATCAATCTAAGAAACCGTTGCCACTAAACAGCCCACGCCACCATTCATTACTCTCAATGCAGGCGAATAATTAAACATTATATTTACAGAGTGCATGCACATTAATACCTCTGCGCACTCTTAATTAGATATATAACCACACATGCTTATGAAGATAAGTATTTAAGATTAAGTACACCCTGCAAATTTGAAATGTTGAATTTGTGCTAGTGTTGTAGAAATTAAATAAAATTTTCCAATTCATTTTCCTTTGCATGTATTCAGGTGGACTGAGTTCACGTCAATCGACGCCAAATGGTTACGGCAGCCGTGATGTCAGTTCCCCGTCACAAAATGATTCCGATTATAAATACGGCCGATTCGACGCCAGCGCATTGCACATTGCTCATGCGCTTAAGCAAACGGAAATACAGAAAGCCTACAACAAGATGAGAGAAAAACCGATAGATTTCTATCTAGTGAGTAAAGCCAACGCCAATTATTTATTAGCAATAAATTAAAACCCGTTAAAAATTAACGCTACATAAGTAAGTAAGTGCTTATTTGTACGCAATTTGGTGTTCACATGCTGCATTCACTAGTAGAGAAAGTAAATTCGCGCTTTTAATAATGCACATTAAAACATACAATTCAATAAATATTCACTCGGAGCAAATTAAAAAAATTAATTTTTGTGGGCTCATACAAACTAAAGACTTAGGAAGCATACTTGCAAAATGGAATTCTTTCACTTTGTAGAGACTTGTTTGATACCCCCTGCAGTGTGTGTGACAAGCAATGCGAAAGGCTAAGCACTCTCTTATCAAAGAGAACACCAATCAAATGCTGTACACAAATGTTAAATAAGACCAAAACTAAACCCCAATACCTAACGTCATACAGTTCATGAAAGAACTCATTGTTTTGTGAATATTGTTCTGGTCCCTTCTATACTTATGCTATTTCAACTACTAACAGAAGTACACTTTTCCGCAGGTTCATGAATATGTGCTGTTTTATTGCCGTTTGACATTTTGGGTTTAAAGGACACTTCTAAATCTATTAAAATTAAGAGTTGAACACAATTTAAATTTGAATTTTAATAATTTATATGCATATCTTTCGAAACGGGACGAAATGAGTGCTAGCTATGATATTTTAAATTTTTATTGTGAAAATGTTGATTTAATTTTGTTAAGTGGGTATTCTAGTCTAGAAATAAAAAAAACGATTTTTTTCTATATTTTCAAAGGTTTACCATTGAAAAATATGTATACAAGAGGATTTTTTAGAATTCAAATTATTTTCGGAGATATAGGTATTATGCTGACCTGGCATCCAAACTGGTTAGGCCGTAACTGAAACTTTAAACGCGTTTTTCTCGAAACTGTCTTTTTCAAACTTTAGCCACTATTTCTTAGGTTCTACTGGACCAATTTACCTGAAATTTTTAGGGAGTCTTATTAAATTTAAATTTTTAGTATTTTCAAAAAAAACCAAACCAGTCCAAAAAATTGTACAGCCATTTATTTTTATTAGTTGCTAGGGGGGTGCAATCGTGGATATGATCGCGTGAAAAATTTTTAAGACCCTTTACATCAATGGCTGCTAATTTTTGAAAATTTTAACTATTTTTATTTGGCGAATTTCCCGTATTCTTGTTATAAATATTAATATATAACTAATAGAAAAATTGTCAGTAAAAATATAAATTTTTTTTTACGAAACTTCAAAAATTTCCTGAAATTCATGCCTCTAGACTAGAATACCCTCTTAAGAACATGTGTCCACATTTTAAAATTTTTCGTAACCTAGCAGCAAGGATACAACGAACTCGGAGAAAATTTCGATTTCGAATCTTATATCTGCCACATGGAACAAGAAACCAAAGAACGAAACAAACAGGAAGAAGTTTCGGTAGAAATTTTTGATTATGTGAATTCTTGGTAATTTTAGCAAGTATTTTAACATACCTAATGACACAAACTCTCATTTACTATATCTCACTTTTTTACTTTAAAAACTTTTGATTCAAGTGGGATATTGTTTCATGTACACATGTTCAACTTATTGACTGCTCAGTCTCTGTTGTTGTTTTGCATGTGCTTTAAAATTTAATCCACAGTTTTTAGCATGCCCACATTCTTAAATCTCTTAAACTTCTCTTTAATGAGTACAAATTAACACAAAATTTGATTTCTTTACGGGAAACAATAAATTAATTTTCTGCTTGAGAAGTTTCAAAAACTGAGAAACAAGTATTTTAGTCTACGAATTCAAACGTATATACTCATGTTATGTGCACTTTATTAATAAGCCAATTTAGTATGTGTATTTATGTAGCTGAAGCAAATTACTTCAGCTACTTCATGCTGTTGATTACGTTGGTGAAAGGCTGTAGACACGAATGTAGGTGTAACTAAGTAGTTCACACAAAATATTCTCTCAACTGGGCAGAGTACGATGTATTCAGATTTTGGCATTATCTCCAGGAGAAGTTAGCAAGTAGGTCCCTAAGACTTTGTGAAATTACGTTTTTTACAAAAAAAAAAGACTAAGTAATTTGAGTGTTTTATCGCCATATCGTAAAAAGTCCAAATGATGTTTAGAGATGGATCACAGATCGTAGTGTCCTCTGGCCTTTGGATCTAAGGTGTAAGTGCCAATTCGTAACACTAAGCAATACAGTTTGGGTCTGTTGATGCGGACAATATGCAGTAAAGATGATATTTTATGTGTGACATTGTTTAAAGAAATTAAATGCATATGCACATATGTATGTACTTACATGTGATCGTGCTCATATGCAAGAGTGAAAGTGTGAGCAACTCAAGCGATCGGTGCCACAAAGTGTTGGCGCGTGTGGCAAGTGGCCACTAGCTGTGGTTTACGAGTCGTTGCAACTGCATTTATACACAAATCATTGTAGTTATCGCTGTGTATGCCTTTGCTCCTCCTTCGTCAGACAATGCCCGCTTAATGCATTCGTTTTGCTCGCTTAATATTTATTTTCGTTTTTTGATACTTTCTACAATACATCACTTCATTTTCATTCATTTAAGTATTTCATCATTATTTTTAGCAGTATTCTACCGAAGAGTGTTTATTTTATTATCTGTTGCTTTGTCCATTTTAGTGATCTCGGCGTTTTTATTTTTGCGCACAATTCGACCAATCGCGATGCAGCATATAAAAATTATTTCGAGGCTTACAAAATATCCACCCCAAAATATAAGTATAAAAGAAGTGAAAATATATCGATAGAATATTGCCATCACTCTTGAATAGAAAGTTAAATCTCCATGCGTACCCTGTAATAAATCCAACTACTAAACACAAAGATAGAAATTACTCTAAAGAGGTTGTACTGATTCTCAATCTACTCCAAGTCACCACTCACATGTGTCTCTTTCAACAAGTGGCAATTATCTTCTCCAGGACTGTACAACTCATACCTATCTGGTTCTATGTTTCATAATTGAGAGATGTTTCAAAAGTATAAACTTTAAAGCTAGTGTAAACATGAAAGTTATGAACTAAAATATTTATAATACTATTTCTAATCATTTTAAAAAACCATTGAAAAAATTGTATTTGGTATAACAGACACAGCTCGATTATTTTTGATAGACAAATTAAAAATCATTATTGAAAAGTTTTATTGCAATTCAATAAGCACACCACTGAATTGGCTTATTTAAATATTCAACTGAAAACAATGATTAATTTGGGATCTAATGGTTTTGGAAATGCAGAGTTTTTATTTGCAAGGTCTTATTCGAAATCAGATATAATGTACTATAGTTAATATCAAATAAATATTTTTTTTAGTGAGAGTTGTAAACTATTTTGATTATTGAAATAATATAACAGGATTAAATCAGTTTACACACCAAATTTGCAAAATAATAATTTCCTTTATTCTTATTGATATATCTTGCTCATACATATCGCTCAATATGTTAGTACCTTTTATACTTTTTTGTAGGTCCCAGAAATCAAGCTGGTATAATGTCTCTCTTAGTCTATATAACCGAAATTAATCAGTTTTTCGCACAAATAAAATAGAGACATAGCATCGGCATTTGTTTGTTTTAAATTTATAGAACTCAAATCGACTCCAGTATATGAAAGCACTACATTTAACAGCACGATTAAAACCAGCCGCTCTCAATTTGCATCAACTGAGACAAAAGGCTATCAAAGAAATGGCTGATGAAGTAAATCAGCTGGAAATAAAGAACCGGAGATTCGTTTGATTATTGTCCCAACCATAAACGAAAGGTCCAGACTAAATATCTTACTCTTCGCATTGTCCGCGCCATACCTGACTCCTGTCAACTGAGCTATCAATAGTAGGGTCGAAATTTATATTTCAAATTATTTAGGCAGCTCTCTCAAATTTCAAAGTTTTATAATATTTATTTAATAATTATAAAAATAATTTAGTTTTTACATATTTAATAATTCTGAAGTATTTGCAATTTTTGCTTTAGTTATATTTATGATTTACTTTATTAAACCTTAATATATCGAAAATCTTTGATTCTGTATTTTAAAACTAAAATTTTTTTTCCAAATAAGAAATATCATTGGTCAAAACAATATGGGTTTTTAATAACCTGTATATTTTCCGTGGTTTGCCATAAGTTTTCTAATTCTATTGGACATCAATTGAAATAATTTTTGGCAGATTTCCATCATTTAGCAAAAAAACAGCATCAGCTAAACGCACACCTTTATTTTCCATTAGTGTATGTGTTCATATGTATGGGTACGTGGGCTGTTCCCATATTTGATAATGTTGAATAGCGTATAGACCAGTGCAGAAGCCTTTGAATATGATTAAAATAAGAAGAAATTAATAGTAGGATGAAACCCATGGGAAACGAAAGATAAAATAACAAACATTAAGGGAAAAATAATTTACGTGCGATCTAAGGTCGCGAAAAGGATGGGGAGGGGCGTGGTTAAATTTTTATACTCTTGCAACATGTTGCGACAGAATATAATAGCTTTGTTCATCCAACGGTTATTCGAGATAGATATAGGGTTATATACATTCGAGTATATATAAATGATCAGGATGATGAGACGAGCTGAAATCAGACATTAAACCTATTAGCGGCCAAGCCCATTTTTTCAAAATTCTTAGTTCACAGGTGCCCCTTGTTACTGCAATCTCCAAATAACATTGTATCCTAATTTAGTGCTTAGTTATGGCAATTTATAGGTTTTCGATTAATGGTGTTTTGTGTACGTGGCAGTGGTCTGATTACGCCCATCTACAAACTCGTACTCCCTTTTTGCCAAGAAACATGTGTACTAAGTTTCATTAAGATATCTTAATCTTCACTTAAATTATCGCTTCCACAAACGGACGGATGAACAGACGGACGGATGGACAGACAGACAGTTACTCGGAGTTCAACTCGTCTCGTCATTCTGATTATTTATATATAAAACAACCATGGTCGAGCGTAATACACCTACTGTAGTAAATGTCGATGATTATTGTTTTTACATTGTTCATTTCCATTATTTCTCGATAAAATTAAGCGCTTAATAAAGTCTGATTTGATTTTTAACTTCTTTTCTATTTTATTTGGTTAGTAAAATTTTTTCATCTCATATAGTTAATCTCTACAGCTCGATAGATCCATTTATTATAGGCTTATGCTAGACTTTCGCTTTGTTTTACTGACTGTCTGAAATACAAACTAATATGGCAGCAGAGGCAACAGCAGGAACAATGGCTACTATTGTTCTATTTAGAGTTTTATTAACAGTTATTTTTCTACAAAGGCAATTCGTATGTAAACAATTATCCAACAAAACCGTACATGCGGATTTCTAGATTATTTAATTGCTGGCATAAGCAAGCGCACAGTTCACATTCGGAACAGTTACCCGATAGCTGGTCTCATTGGATATCGCTGGCCGATGCAAAGTAGTTTGGACGAACTTAAAATTGTAGTTGAAGAGTCTGAATGCCCTAAGCAAACCGTTGCAGTTTCTCTACTGCAACTCACTCAAGCAAGAAATTATAATTAACAAAGTTAACAATGCGAATCAACAAAAGCACTACCGAAGACCAAAAACCATGTTATGGCAAAAGATGGGGGGATGAGCAGGAGTAATCTAAAACAACATATGTTTAACCCTTGCTGGAAAGGAACCACTTAAAATCCATTTATTATTGCAAAATTAATATGCAGTACTAATTGTAGACATTTATATACCGATTTTTTACTTATATATTTCGAATGTTTTCTTTTTCTTGTTAAAAAAGAAAAAAATAGCATTGTCGATACCTACATATGTACAAGTATACACTCGCCAGGAAAATTATCCGTAAACCTCGACATGAAAACAATAAACTGAGAAATTTGTGATCAAATAATTTATTATGTATAAAAATAGTATACAAAAGTTTTATTTAATATTTTTACTGCACTTTCCATACGTTTTTTACGTTTAGACAAACACTTTAAAAAAATTCCCAGAACAAAAACTAAGCACAGTTACTTAAATTCAACGGAAAAAGTATCCGTACATATCAAAACCGGATATTTCCCTTGTAATATGGTGACAAATACATTCCCTTAAGCGCTTATATTGTATTGTATAATTGATCTCGATCTTGACGGTTGACCTTAAAGTTATTATAATTTTTCATTGTGCAAAAATCGCGATGACTCCTAAAATTAAAGAAATTAGTGCTGGCGAAAGAAAAATTATTCTTAAACTCAGAAAAGAAGGCAAATCATTCCGAGAAATAGGTAAAATGATAGGAAGGACACATTCTTCTGTGCAGTATGTGGTGGAAGCATTCAAAAAAACTAAGTCGATTGTGCCAAAGCCACGCTCTGGTTGACCAAGTATATTAACTGTTCGAGAAAAACGAAAATATTACAGTCAGTAAAAGCAAATCCTCAACTTGCTGCCTCGAAAATATGTGAAAATATTAAAAATTTGTTCGACAAGGATCTCCATGAAGATACTGTACAAAAATTTTTATATTCTTGCTTTCATCCAGCAGCTCATCCCCTTTTCTTTTGGTTAACCTCAAGGATTTTCGCACTCTTGTCTCTATTATTCGTATTCAAAACCATAAATCTTATGAAGTTTGAGATTAAATAAAGGCGTGTTAAAGGTTGTACTCATCACCTTAAAATCTTCAAATCAATGTGAGCCTAGATAAGCATAGAAACTTGGACTATTAAAAATAAATTACCCTATACATAGGTCCGCATATACTCAAAGTGTACAAGGTACTTAAAATTAATTCGTATATATTCATTATATCGTATACTCCAACGAATGAACTAAAATCAATACGTAGTTCTCTTATTTTGTCTTTATATGAATTTTTTAAGTATACTTACATACATATGTTTGTTTGATGTTAGCCCTTTGTTCATCTTCTATTGCTTACATTGACATGATTAATATATTAAAATAGGCTCGGGAGGAGCAAGCACACCTTGAGATGAAACATCGTAAAGAGGAAGATGATTTGTATCGCAAATTTGCCCGCAAACGAGAGGAAGAAGATCGCAAAATACAATCTGAATTCCAAGACGAATGGGAACGCGAACTGCAACGCCTCACACACAAATTCGAAAAAGAGATAGCAACTTCTCGGCGCAATCGAGACGACCACAATATGCTCACGCTGCGGCATGAGCAGCAGAAGGAAGATCTGGAAAAGAACATGACACTGCGGCGCAGCAAAAAAAAGGAAAGCATCACACGTAAAATGCTAGAGCATGAGCGATACGAAACAGCCGCTTTAGTAGATCGCCAGTCGAGTGAAATGTTGGAATTGATTAGTGCGCGCCGCTCGGAATACATGCAAAACGAGAGTATCTTTTTAGATGATGATTTCGATGAAGGAGCGGTTCCACTAGAATATCCCATGATAGCTCCAATACCAGCTCCTCCAGCCGTTAGCAAATTCCAAATATACACTGATCCTATTGAATTCGAAGATGTCGATCGTATTGCAATATCGGTGAGTTGATAAAATAGTAAATGATAAAGGAATGCATTATTTTCAATAATGATACAATATTATTAAAAATAAAGGTGGCTCAAGAGGATCAGAAGACCTTCACGGACTTAGTGCGGCAGTTGGTCGGTCGTTGTACCACAGATATAGAAAAGGCTCGAACGATCTTCCGTTGGATAACTGTTAAAAATTTAAATGCAATGCACTTCGATGATGACTTGCGGGGTGACACACCAATGGGTTTACTGCGGGGCATCAAATACGGTACAGAGAGCTACCATGTACTATTCAAGCGACTTTGCAGCTATGCCGGCCTTCACTGTGTAGTAATTAAAGGTTATTCAAAGAGTGCTGGTTACCAGCCAGGAGTCAAATTCCAAGACTCTCGGTTCCGCAACTCTTGGAATGCAGTGTATGTTGCGGGAGCCTGGCGTTTTGTACAATGCAATTGGGGCGCGCGCCATTTGGTCAATGCAAAGGAAGCACCAAAAACCGGACGCGGCAAAAATGACAGTTTAAGGTAATCCGTGTACACATAGACAAAATTCAGAATTATTAACATAAAAAATCCTAGCAGATATGAATATGACGATCACTATTTCCTTACTGATCCTCGGGAGTTCATTTATGAATTTTACCCTTTACAAGAGGAGTGGCAACTGCTTAAAAGACCTATAACTCTACGGGAATTCGAAAATTTACCTTTTGTGCGATCGCTTTTCTTCCGTTATGGGCTACATTTCGCAGATGAAGGTTATGGCGCGGTAGTATTCACAGATGACACTGGTGAGTTATATATATTACTTGTACCCCACACTATTTACATAATTACTAACTTGTATGTCATTAATGCATAGGTGCTGCCACTGTTCGTATTGCCATGCCAACAGACATGCAAAGTTGCCTGATTTTCCACTATAATCTTAAATTTTACGATAGCGACGAAGACTCTTACGACAGCGTCTCTCTGAAGCGTTTCGTTATGCAATCAGTTATTGGAAACATTGTAGCTTTTCGTGTACATGCTCCGTGCTCTGGAGCCTTTCTTCTGGACATATTTGCCAATGCAGTAACCCCACAGGAATACCTTACTGGCGAGCCAATGAAGTTTAAGTCCGTCTGCAAATTTAAGGTTCGTCATCCATTGCAATTTTTTTTAAGGTTTTGTTATTTCTAAGGTTTTGTTTTACCTCGGTTTGATATAAATTAAATTTAAATAAATAAAACAAGTACATTAGTGAAAAAACTGTTAATTTAAGCAAAAAAATTTTAGATGAAATCCGTTAACCAATTAAAATAAGTATTTGGAAACTGTGACAGGGGTGTGACTAACTAACAAATTTCCATTTACTGATATAAAAAAAAATAAATATTTCGACAAACTCTCATTTTAGTAAACCAATGCGTTCATTAAATGATGCTTTCTTGGTTTGCTAATTATATATATAAAGGAAAACATGACCGCAAAAAAGAAGCTCTCAACAAATACTGAGATGTATACAGTTACTGACAAAAAAATGGAATCAAAATTTTATTTACAAATATTTGCAAAAACAAAGTTTTACCACAGTGCTTAGGAGGAAACATTTATTTTTTATAGTTATTAAAATTTATTTCAAACATTTCAAAAGCAACAATAACTCAATTTAAATTTAAATATTATCAGCAAACAACTTTTGGAGGAACTGTCAGGAACTTCGATTGGCAATAAAATAGAATCATGAAACCAAAACTCGTAAATAGTAGACTATTATAACTGAAAAATGCATATAAGTTAGAATTTACTTGCAAATGTTTTCGGCGTAGATTCAACTAGAGCCTTACAGATTGAATTGGCCTCTTGGACATTTTCTCATATTTCCTCCTTATTTTGTTGTTTAATGTTCGAAAGATTTTGTCGTATATCGGAGAATCATATCAGCCGTCTTCGGACATCGAACTCAAACTTTTCCATCTCTACCTATCATATTTATTTTAGATTCATCGGACCAAAAGAGCATTCCGGAACAACCTTCCAAAGCGATTCTTTTTTCAAGGCGATGTGTAACAGTTCTCGAAATAATGTCTCCACCCAATTCCTTTTGGATAGCTACAGAGGACTTGAAAGGATCGGGTTTTGATAAAATCTCTATGTAATTGTCATCCTGAAATGGCGTTTTTCGTGACCGTCCCCTCAATTCTCATTCTTTTGGATGTTTCAAAGCATTAAACCCAAATTTTGGGATCTTTTTATAATTTTTGCAATTTCTCTTCGGGTGTAACCACCATTTTGCAAATTTTTTATTGGCTAACACTCTGCCGCTGTGCAGTGCTTTCCTCGGCCCATTTCTCCTACAAACAGTATGTGTAACATTCAAACAATCGTTTGTTAAAATGTCTGCTATTAATTGTGTCTATCAACAAGTATCAACTCAGTGTGTCCAATCATACTCAAAATTGAAATATTGAAGTTGGGTATAGCTGTCTCTTCAAAAAGGAAATCGACAACGTTTCAACGAACGAAAATTTCATCATTACTTCGCTTTTTGCAACGAGACGACTTAACAGCTGAGTCTGTTTACAAGTTTTTAAACAAAATATAACATGTGGTTCTATGCCAACCTCTGTAGTCATAAGTTTTCGTATCTGCTAATTTTGGTTATTTGAAATTTCTCTGTAACTCATTTTAATTGATAAATGCAATATTTTTGATAATCAATAAACCATATTTAGCGTTATCGAACATAAAATTCCATTGCTCGAACGTTGTTATTACTTCATATGGCCTCGTTTCCTTAGATCTATCACTTGATACGTATGTACTTGCGGTCCTGAATCCATTTATTTAGTATTACGTCTTTGAGGGCCTATGGAAAAGTACCGCAATACAGAACAAACGACTGGTTCTAAATATATATTATGTTAAAAGCTTCACTATGGTCCTTTCGGAAAGAGTTTCATGATTCCATGACTAGCTAAAAATAGAGAAAAAACTTTTGCCTTGTGCTAGTTGTAGGTTCCATGGTTATTGCGCCGTGCTAATATATAAATCAGTAAATAATAACTTCCTTAGAATACGGCAAATAATTAACTGTTGGCTTTAAACTGAAGTTTACGTCAGAGAGAATATATTTTCAAAAAACTACAGCAGTATCACAAAACAAAAAAAAAGTATTTATAGTCTCACTGTGTATTTTAATATTAATGTGTGTTGTTGGTGAAAATTAATTTGTCAGGGTAATCGTGTAGTTCAAAATTGTGTTATTGCTATATAGAAAAAACATATGACTTTACTCTAAATAATATCTTTTTATAACTTTTCATAATATTTAGATATGTTGCGAAGAGCTACAAACAGTTATGGTACCGTTGCCGGATTGCGCAAGCGGTGAATGGGGTCCTACAAAAGCGACTAGACTTTTCGGATTAATACCCATAACGCACCAGGTAAGTACTTAAAAATCATTGCTGAAGTAGTAAAGGTCAGTTCTTGAAATCGTATGGTACTTTAGAAGAGAATCATTCACAACAATCACCTATTTTTATCTGCAATATAGACATTGTCTTTAGAATAATATTATAAGTAATCATCAATAATTGTGGAACCATTATATGTAAATTTCTGACAATATCAGGATCCACTTATATTTGCTGGACGAAGTTTAGACCTTCAATTTCGCATGTCAAAACTTTTGACAGACTTTATGGCCACGCTGCACAAGAACGGTGTTGAAGAAAAGAAACTTTCCAAATATGTGACGCATAACACGTTAGACGACATTGTGACATTCATAATAAAGTAAGTGGTATACTTGTAAAATGTTAAATGTCAACATGCCCAATAACACTTTTACAGTTTTCCCGAGGAGGGTCAATACGGTTTAGACATATATACTCGTGAAGCTGGAACCATAGCTTCGCACCATAGTCACTCTGCGTCAACGGGTGAGAAACATCTGCTCACCCACTGCTGTAAATACTTAATCAATTCATCGAAGCGGAATTAAATAGGCAGAAATGTATAAGAGATACGACTGTATGCAATTGTTACAATATTTTTAGTGAAATGCAATAATTACCAATTAGTTGTAAAAGTTTTTTATGAATAATACCGATTATGTTTAAAAAGTAATTTCATGCATATTAATACATTTTACTTATTAAAATGCAAATAATATTGAACTGTGTACAATTTTACAAATGCATATGAACATAAAATATGCATATATACTATAAATATAATTAATTGAAATATTGACATTGAATCATTGACCCTAGGGGGGGAGTGGTTATTTTGTTCTAAAATTATTACGAAAAGTTCCACGTAAGTAAACAACAACTTTCTGATTCTACAGAGATTGATTCAAGGAAAACCGGTGATATAATTCTTTAGATATTACGCATAGTCGGCGAAATTGGACATCCAGACGACCTATTTCTTATATGACGCTATTTCAAATATACACTGTTACAGATACATTTAAGTAGTCATCGAATCATAATCTAACACTTACAATGTACAAATAGTATTCGAAAATGAATAAAATACATATGTATGTATAACCATTTTCCAATAAAAGGATTTCCGTTCCCCTTTTAAATTTGTTTCGCACCAAGACACATTACAAGAGGCAGGCGTGGTTAAAATCCGATTTTTACCATTTTTACATTATGGGATGATATGGTGAAACCTATTATTCGCCATAAAAAAAGAAAACCGGTGTAAGGTACTGGCCAGAGTATACCGCACCGCAGCCCTCAGAGTTGCATCAGCTTACCGAACAGTGTCAGGCGATGCAATACTAGTTATAAGTGGTAATATCCCAATTGACCTCCTACCATATGAATGGAAAAAGCTGTGGGAGCTAAAGCTAACTGATAATAATAAGATGCAATCGAACAAATAAAGAAAGATACGATGTCAGCATGGCAATGAAGATGGGAGAATGAGAATCGCGGCAGATGGACGGCGAGAAAAGCCGAAGATTTGGAGAAGTCGATTTCTACACGACACAGCCGATATCCGGTGACGGATACTTCAAAAATTATCTCCACAGAATGGGAAAAGTCAAAGAGCCGTCACGCCCATAAAATGACGCGACAGAAGACGACGCTGAACACACATTCTTTGAATGTGCGCGATGGCACCAGGAACGCAGCGCCGTAGAAGACCGGGTTGGTCCAATAAACGCGAACAATTAAATCGGCGTCATACTGGAGAGCGCAGCAAACTTGGAGATCATCCAGAAATTCACAGCAATTTTGCTACGCAGTAAAAAGCGGAACCTCGACGCAGGTGGGCAGATGTAAATCCCTCAATGAGAAAAATGGAACGCCACCCTTAAGTAATGAAAACGTGGTTCCAGGTAAGCGACGGTTCCTTAGAGGGGGGCTTTCAGTGACCTGCAAGCGGCACATAACTTTGCTATTGATGATGCCGAAAGCATTTTCCACTCCCGCAAAAAAAACCATTGTCATTGTCATTGTGATAATTGTATGTAATAAATGAAGAATGCTGTTTTGATGAGGAGATCGACGTTCTTGATACTGCAATTTAGTTGAACATCTATTGACATACATATATGCCTTTGTCTTTAACATCAGACTTGTCGTTGATGAGATTTGAAATTCCGCGTGATCGTCTACTACAAGCGACGTTCATTATTAGTATTTGGACTGTATCTACATCATGGAGATTTTCAGATGTGGTATGTCTGAGGTTCATACCGAAAATATGACTTTGAGATTAATATTTTGTTGTTGTAAGTGAACTTAAAGTCCAAAACGCTTGAGGTTTTGTTAATGACTTTTAAACCTTTATTTTTGTTCAAAAATGAACATGTGCGTTAGGACCACAATGGCCCCACTTAGACGGCGTGCAGCAATAAATTTAGTTTTATTATTTTACATATTAAGATAAGAAACATGTTAGAATATACAGTCCACTAATCCTAAATATGTATGCTCAAATATATTTAACAGGCATACATACATACATAAGCAAACACATAAACAAATATAAACTCATATGATAACTTGTAGACCTAAGATATATATTTAGGCAATTGATTACAAGTGCACCTGTGCACTTGAATAAAACCAATTTCACAATTTCTAATTTGCTTAAAGAGATATTATTTACCATTGGTAATAGTTATACTTATACCACAATAAAATTACTTGATTTATATTATAAGATTATTATAAAGACATGTTCTTAAAACATAAGTCTAAATTAGGAATTTAGTCTATCCACAAAAAATTTATAATTTTGCCGGTGCAACGCCTTCAGTTCATTATAATTGCCCAGTTTCTTTGAGAATTGTTCTTCTAAAGTAAGACCCCACTGAACGCTTAGGATACGTTCCATCAAAGCAGAGCGTAATGCGAAACAGGGCTAAACGTGGTTATCTTAACATGTAAATACTTGTAAGATGGATAGAAAATTGTTTAGGTATTAAATAAAATAATTATGTTTAAAAAATATATAAAACCAAACAATTATTTTTTACAAAAATTAAATCAATATAAACGAATATACTAATAAAAAATTAAATTCTAATTAAGCCAGATTATTCTGCCGTTTTTGCCATGAGTTTTCTTTTGCGTTCTGTTAGAAGTTGTTGATAAGTGGATAAAGCATCTATAATAACTCGTCTTGCTTCTGAACTCCTGTCAAATTTAACTCATTTTCAATAAATTTGTCCACAATTTCAAGTATAGTGATCAAACTCTTTTTTACAATTGCCATCGAAAGCTCTTTTTGCTTTTCTTCGAAATCACTATTGTCAATATTTTTGTTTTCTTCTTGCTTAGCTAATTCCTTGACCTCTTTATTAGGAAGACTAGCTGCTGGTTTTTGAGCTATTTCTTCGACGTCTTCCACATTTACCTCATCTAAACTGGTTTGTTTTGCTAATTCCCAATTTTATCCATACCGACAGTGTCCAATGTCTTCGCTCTTACTTAAATCTGGCCAAATGTTCTTTCATACTCCTTTCACAGAACTTACTGTTATTTCATTCCAATAAAGGTTTATGTTTTCTACAGCATTCATGCTATTGTAGTTTTTCCGATCTTCTCTTATTGATCACTTCTCTTCTCCGTCTATTTTTTCAAACATCTGCTTTAATGTTTGCCGCAAGTAAAAAGCCTTAAAATACGAAAAACGAAACAATTCCTTTAGCGCTGCGATCTCATTTCTAATGCGAAGTAACCATCGATACTTGCGCCTTATACAAGTAATCTTATTTTCAATGTGTTCATAGCAAAGCTGGATTTTGCTTTTCGTATTTTATTATCAATGGCGATATGTATATTGCCATCCTCCGATAATATCAGTGCCGGCCCGAGAAAATTTATCGCCATAGACAAATCTCAAATTCTGCGCCCCTCTAAGTCTATTTTACCTTAACAACAAAATGTATAGCTTTTAAAAATTATTCAGGTCATTTTAATAAAAAAAAGCACTCATATTCCAAAAGTTAAACATTATTATTAAAAACTTATTATAAGTAGTAGTATAATAAAAAAAGTTTATTTTTTAAATATTTTCGTGCCTTTAAATTGGAAAATCATACACAACTGTAATAGAGTTTGTGCCACTTCATTTTCATTTGATAATGTTGCCAAGCCTGTCAATCTTTCTTCACACATTGCCGTAAATAAATTTTGAACGATATTAATTTCTAATTTTTTACAATGTTCTAGAATGGCGGTGTATATAAAATTTACAGCTGATCAATATTAAATAATAAATTATAGTTTAAAAGAACTAAAAAAACACGCTTTAAAGAATTTTCAAACCTCCTCCTATAAAGCTCTTCCCTACCATCTTATTTGTGAAATTTAATGCTTATGGCGCATTTATTTCGTCAGTTATCGCACTTTTAGTATATTTTAACATAACTGTTATATGGGGAGTGGGCGTATGAAAAAGTGCTAAAAGGACTTCCTCTCAGCAAAATTTGGTTGAGTTAGCTTTAGCGGTTTGGAAGATATATACTTTAAACCATTTAGGGGCGGGGTTACGCTTTACCTTTAAAGTAATGGGAAACTGTTATCAAATTACTGCATTGTCATCGGTGCTTGACACGTTTGCAAAGTTTCAAGTTGATCAGACTTCTGGAAAGCAGTGGAAATTGAGCTCTAAGATTCTATTATACACATACAACCCAAGATAATAAAAGCGTATTAAAAATCCAAAAGTTTTAGTAAATGGTTTCAACAGATCCCATATTTTATCGATTGAAGATAATGCAATATCAATAATGGTAAAATATAAATTAATTTTAAAATTTTGCTCAGCATTGCGAATTGGCTCATCTTCCCCTCATAATCTCACCGTTTTTTCTGTTTTCTCAAGCGAACTGGTATCGTCTCTGATTAGAATGTATGGTACAGATATACAATCAAATACTCGCAATCAACGCGTAGCAACTAATAAATGTAATAAAATAAAATAATAATACTCCCGTTGATGTATATAATTTGTATTAGAATGCGAAAATATGAAACTATGATTTTTGTATCTTATATTTAAATGAAATAAACAAAGTAATTTTATAAACTATTTTTTATTTTATTGAAGTACAATAAAATATGTAAAGAAAGTTAGCTAAAATGCAATTTTTTTTATAATTCTTGCGACCTAACTTGTTTATATGAATAATATGCTACCCAGGTACTCAAATTGTGAAACATTCTCGATTGTCAATCCATTAATATCAAAAAAAGGAAGTTTTACTGGCATTTATTCTTAATGCGTTTGTCTTTGACACATGGATTTTCAGGCCCTCTTTGTAAGATTCATTTACTAAGATAGAAAGTTTTAATTATATATTATATCTTTTTAGCTTATTGCCAACAAAACATGATACTGTTGTCAAGGTTTGCTAGTTAACATTGAAAATTAAGATTTATGCCAGTTTTATGCAGTTGAACAATATCCATAATTTTATCCAAAGCCGTACTGAATAATAACGGCGACAAGACCCACCCCAGTCTCACTCCACTCCATGTAAAAAATCAATTTCTGAGCATAGTCTTATGGATGATCTTGCACGTTGCGTTTTCATAAATGTTTTGTATGATATTATTTAGCTTTCAATATACCTCTATATATATAGTATACCTCTCGCTTCTATAGCTCCCCAAATATGTGGTCTTTTAACTACATAGAAAGCTTTTTCATAGTCCACAAAGCAGATATACAGTGGAAGATGCCATTGAATAGATTGTTCCAAAATCAGTCTCAGTATATTAATATTGTCAATAGTTGATTGTTTAGGACAGAATTCAACCTAATTATTGCGAATTAGAAATTGTTTTACCACCGGAAGTAAAGTCAAATTTTATAGCAGCCTATTATAGGACATGTATAATTAAACTTAGCTAACACAACTAAACCATGTACAAGGTATATCGTCTTCCCTCGATTGTCATTTACTTCATTTGTATGAGAATATTCTCAACTCCAATCCCGAACATGATAGTGAAAAAGTATTTTAATCCACAATGTCAAAATCAGCTTTTTTTTGTTTTTCCCATGATATTATTGTTTACATTTTCATGATTTTGTGTGATTTACAATATATTCGTATTAAGTTATCATTCAAAAAACGCATTTTCATTGGTGGAAATCTTTGAAAAATTTATTTTTGAAACTTAAAAAAAAAATAATACAACACAAAACGGCTGATTTTAACATTATGGATTCAAACACTTTTGACAAATTGTTGTTTTTGGGCTATCTACACAACCTTATATAATTTATCATGCCGGTATACTTGCACTTTGTATTTTCGTCGTGAAATTAAGATTTCTAATAAATTATTTACTAGCAACAGCAGCGATAATTATAAGTACATATAAGTTTAATTATATTAATAAATAATCAATAGACAATGTAAATTCTTAAAAAATATGACAAAACAAAAAGTTATGAAAGTAAATATTATTTGAAAAAAAATTACCAAGTATTTAAACAGCATATTGGTTGAAGTTTTGAAATCCGGTATTATCGATATCAACTTAACCCGTCAAAAAAAATGTCGGTTGAATTGTTGTCACACATCAACTTTTTCGTATTACAGTGTTTAACTCTGTACCAGTAAGTTTAACTAGAATATCAAAAATCTACAACTGTCACCAAGTTGTTTAATTATCTGTCAAATCTACACTTTCTAGACTCGCAACACCAATAAGACTTCGACTGAAAATACTTGAAATTCGTAATACCAAAAAAGTGTTTGATTTGTAGTTGAATTGCTTTAACTTCAATTCAACTGAGTGGAGTTATAAATGGTGTGTTTTCTAGAGGTATAGAACTTTAAATTGCAATAAAACAACGATGGATTATTCGATTGACATGAATTTTATTTATCCGAAAGATAATCTTGTGACATTACATTTTAAATATGATTTCTGGCATATGACAGCCACGCCTGGCTCGGATGTAGTCCAATCTGGACGTCCAATTTCCAACATTTGTGGCCATATATCAGCAATAACACGGCGAATGAACAACATTTCAAGGAACGACACAAATACTTTTGAATAACGTGCAACTTAAGTTTTTTGCTAATTTATTTAAAACGTTAATCATAAAACCAAGATATTTTTTATGACTTGTATTGTTTCTTTGTTATAGTTTTTTTTCTATATTATTTTTTTTATTTTATGTGATGTCTTCAAATATATAATATGAATACACGTATTCAAGGATATAGGCCTACTCGGGAACCGAGCACCTAAAAATATTATCGAAATGCAAAATACCCAATCCATTTTCTTTCGACAGTAGCATGATTGACAAATGTTATAAAAAATGTGGGTTTTGATAGCTCTTTCTCGAATCAAAAGGTTTCGTATCATGTCATCCTTGCTGTAGGTCTTTAAAATTTGTTTCTTTAAGGTCACATATCTATGTATTGTATATACTTAATTGTAAATTAATAAAAATTTACTCTCTCTTGGGCTGGGTAATATTCTGACGCTTGTAATCACCATGAAGATGTCAAAATTTAACTTTAATTCGTCGAAATTCTCAATTTTCACCAATTAGCATACAACATACATACTTGTACGTGGAAATCCCTAAGTTGAATGTCTTAATGGTGGCAAGTTGCAATTCTCTCAAAAGACACGTTCACTGTCAAAAGTTTCCGAGTTTGAAACTGTTATAAGAATATGTTTTCTCACTAGCTAGTCATGGAAAAGCGTTATTTAACTTTAGCTTTTAAAAGTAGCTTTTTCTTTGGAGCTTCAGGCAATTGGAAAAGACGGACGGCCAGATTGAAATCCTACCAAAGAAGAGAGATGTGTTGCTGATGTTGAAGATCACTTTCTCACAAAAATTTGAAAACAATAAAAATCAAAGAAAACGCCAAATTGAAGTGTATTTGGTGAAACTTTTGTGATGCCATGCTTCGTATTATTAAATTGAAAATTATAAAAAAACATTTATTAATTGAGAGCTAATACATTAACTTTATTAAGTATTGAAAGTTCAATAATCAGTTGTTTTAATATATCACAAAATCACCAAAAAAAGATTTAAACAGTTTCTCCACATGTTTAACGGATAGGCGCTCTCACACTGGAATAAGTTGGACATCCCTTTATCCCTGGTTCATACTGAAACAACGAAGCGCAGAAAACAGAGGGTATGCCACAATGAACCTTTGCTTTCAGTGTTTATCTCTACTAAAAATGGCGACCGTTGCTTGGCAAATCGTAATAAGATGACAGTTGTCCAACATTGTGCTTGGCTTCGCGTAGAAAACTTTTTATGTGAACGTACTTTACAAAAGCGTACATCGAACTTTTCTGTCAAATTAAATATCTGCCGCAAAGCGAAGCAAAAATTTCTACGTAAATTGGCCATAAGAAGGAGAGCTGTTGGTTTCTGCTAGCAGAAAATAGCTATGTACTTCCATATGAAGAAACAGCTGTAAAGTCATAGCACACATGATTTTGCTCATTTTATTAGTTTTGAATTGTAAAAATAAAAATTCTTGTTATTAATTTTCAAGTTTTTATATCATGAGATTATTCAAAACATTTCGAGGTTCCCTTGCTATTTTCTGCTTCAATTTTCGCATTCTTCTTCTTCCTGATAGTTAGCTGATACTAGCAGTTCTGAAACAAACTTATTATTATGGCATAGTTATTATGTGTTTATTATTTGGTTGATGATGTTTTTTTGAGTACTGTTTGCCATGGGAACTATATTTGCATTGATGATTTCATTATGGTTTTATTTCACAAATGATGGTAAGTATCCATTTTTAAACACAAATCTATCGCAATAGTAAATGAAGGGGATGTTTGAGTCCCAATCACTGCGGCAAAGATTCATATTCGACATAAAAATTTTGCAACATTTGAAAATGTCAAGCGTTTGAGCATTTCAAGTTTTGACATTTGATGAGCGCAAAACTAACAAAATCGGCATCAGAAAAATTTATGATGGAAGAAGACAGTTAAGCGAAATCACTGTTTATTTTCGTTTATGATTAATTAATATCATTCATTCTGTTTTAAGTACATATACTGACATATAATATATTATCTGATCTTCTATAATTGTTTTCATCATAAAAGCAACAAATGCAAAATTCATTTAATTTCAACACCAAACTGATTCACACACTAATCAAAATAATTTTAAAAAGTTTACTTATTGATGTTTGTATCTTTATTATATGATTTTACAATCTTACAGAATTCGCTTTATGCGTATAGAATTTAAATTCTATATACTTAATAAAATAGCCATAAGAAGAATAGCGGACCAAAGTGTTACAAATAATATTTTATAATATTGTTAGTAAACTGTTGGTTTAACGCACACGTTTCGACAAATGAAACTGCCAATAGCTACGTAAACTCCTCTTTAGTTTTAGTAGTCCATAGAACTAGTGCAGTTAGTGTTTAATCTATTTGGTATAGTGCTTATATTTTCACAATTCTGTCAAATATATTGTGTATCAATGATATCAGTCCGTGCCAGCCTGTGGTATTCGTCAGAAGTTAATTTTAAAAAATATATATACGCTTATCTTTATCGGGACATATTAGATCTTGTATGCTTTAAATTAGAATATTCAATTAATGCTGATTACAGGTTTATTAACAATTTGCATAAAGATTACAAGTAATAAAAAATACAGTATTATTTTCGTTACAAACATCCCTCATTATTCGGCTTTAACATATTCTCGAACTAATTTCTAATTTCAAGTTACAATCCAGTACGATGCGATTAAAACGGCACAATTACCTAAGCGGTAGGACTGAATATTTTACAATTCTTCATATTCTTCATACTTCCATTCATTTGGAATTTACTTAGTATTAGCTGTTACGATAATAATCAAGAAAATTACTGGTGGGTATTTACTAAAAATGTCGACAGCATTTATTTTAATACATAAATAAGTGTTATTTACTTATTTGGTCTTTTTTAATTGTTCGTTTAGTTCCAATTAAAAACGAATATTGCTGCATATATTCAAATAATTAAGTTAATGAAATTTAAGGAGCTTGTAAGTCTTAAAGTTAAATTTTTGCGTATATATGATATATATGCTTCCGTCAATAACACGGCTGTATACTGACATCTCAATCTCGACGACATCTGATTTAGAAGTTTCGCCTGCCGTTGTTGTTCTCGTGCACACTGCAAAACAAAAATTTAATATTAGTTAATAATTAAGAATTTTAAACATATACACGTAAGTTATTATAACATTACTAAAATAAATTAATTTCACACATATGCACACATTTGTTTAACACACTGTATTATACCCATTTAGTAAAAAAAAAACCGATTAGCTATATATCTAAACGTATGTATTGAAATGAAGGCGTCAACACACTTTGTAAGAAGACAAGGGATTTATTGTTACTCGTGAAACAAAACAACAAAATCACTAGTCTTCCATGCAAAATGTATCTTATAGAAATTAGTTTAGCGAAATATGTAGTTACACAAGCGTTTTAAGCGACCATCCCAGGTTTAACAGCACATTGTTTACCCCTATAGCCACAATCACCACTTTAGTACACATAAGTGAGTTAGATGAACGTTTGTTTGATGTTTAAGGATTAGTATGTTTTTTTTAAAGTACAATGAATATGAGAATTGTAGAAAACAAAAAATCATGAGTTAGAGAATGTGTTCATACTTTTAGGATGTGTTGGACACCAACCTCTGTTGTAAAAGATACTGGGCCATTTGGATTTGTTTTGGGTTACCGGAAATGGTAATAATACGATCAGTTGATCCTGGCAATGGTTCATCAATTGTAATATAGGCACCAGACTCATTGCGAATGCGTCGGATACGGCCACCTCCTTTTCCAATGATAGCACCAGCCAACTATAAGAAAATATCCGTTAATAGCTATTAAGGCTTTGATATGTTAGTAATGGACTCACATCTTTTGGAATTGTAACCTGCGTACTGTTTTTGGGATCATGGCCATTTGGTAGATTTCCCGAATTGCCACCATTAGGCCCATTATTGTTTGGGCCAGGCCCGAAGCCGCCAGCACCGGCAGATCCCATACCACCACCAACAGATCCCATTCCATTATTATTGATTGGTCCACCAAACCCACCGCCTTGATTCATGCCACCACCGAAGTTTCCACCACTATTCATTTGATTGCCACCAAAACCGCCTCCTGGGTTACCACCACCGAAGTTGCCTTGATTTCCGGGACCAAACCCACCGCCATTGCCCCCGAAACTGCCACCTGATGGACCGTTATTTCCTCCAAATCCTCCACCGCCATTACCACCGAAATTTCCTCCACCGAAGCCACCGCCAAAGTTACCGCCACCGAAATTACCACCACCGTTATTGCTTCCGAAACCATCATCATTAGCCCATGGATTAATAAATGGGTTGTCACGTCGGCCACCGCTGCGGCTGCGGTCATTACGTCCACCACGATCGTTGCCAAAATTACCGCCACCACCATTACCTATACCACCGCCTCCGCCGCCGCCACCTCCGCGACCACCACGCGATGGACGGTTGTTACCACCACCGTTTCCGCCACCGCCGGATCCATAACCACCATATGCATCGGCGTACATACGATCGAAATTGGTGGGATCATAATTATGTACTGGACCCTTAATAGGCGTCTGAAAATATTAATTAACATATATGTATTATTTAAATAATAAGATATCTTATACATATTATTCTACCGTGTACACAAATCTTACCTCACGCGTCAACGTAATCACCTCCCTTATAGCTTCAATCACCTGCGATTGCTTTCCGACGGTCTGTACTACTCGGTCTGTGCTTTGTGGGGCAACATTCGAGAACACTTTCAAAATACGACATCCAATTTTCTAAAAAAAAAAAAATATATTACATTACTATTAAACATTATTATAATTTGATTCAAATAAAATACACATAGTAGCGTTAAAAAACATTCGCCAAATTATTTTAGAGAGTGCTGCCGAATTGATAGACCAAACAGAAATTCGTATCCATTCTGGTAACATTGAGCCTATACTTCCTTTACAAATTTATTGGCGAAAAACGTCAGTCAAACTGTATGGCATGTTAATAATCTCCTTAGGAATTAAAAATATTGATCTTCTTTGTATTTAAATTGTTACTACATAGGGATGATTGCATCATTTCAACACTATAAATTATAGTTTTCCGTACTTTCTACATTCCCTCTTTCTTATTTAGAAGTTGACACTGTGCGATATATTACGGCACAATAGAGGCTTGACCAATGAAATAGTCATTAGTTAAGGACGGGGTCGGAGGAACCGATAAAAGGCGACAATTTTACAGAAGAGTTGAGTCACAGCCTTGTAAAGTGAATTAAAAGACTTTTTGTTCACCCTTATAGTATCTACTAGCCAACACTCAATCAGTCAAAGAAACATGTATACACTTCACACATCAATATAAGCATGTAACAAAACAAATTTATTAATTATGAACATGAGCAAACAAAATCGGCATGTAGCCGCGAATACATACTCATACCGAGCTAAACACATATCATACCAATGCATGGAAGTAATATGAAAATGTTAGCAACTGAAGTGGCTGTGTCATAGTTCACTACCGTCAGCATAACATCGATTAAAGACGTCTGAAACATACCGTTCTTTCCTTCCATCGTTATTTTATTAACATTTGTTTTGTAAAATAATAGCAATCCATCTTATTGATTAATTCAAAGAGCATTTTTCACATTGAAAATATACATGAGTTAAATAAAATTGATATATATACAACTGAATGTAAAGAGCGATGACCGAAAACTAAAAACCGACATCACTGTTCAGACGAGGAGACAATTATCGAAATGCCGAAGTGTGATGTTACCGCGACCAATCTAAATACTGAACTAGTTGGACTGAATTCATAAATGCCAAAACGCTGTGTCAGCATTGACAATGATTATTGCCGACTTCTGTTAATAACCACGCGCACGCAACTCATAAGGGAGAAAGGTACTGAGAAATGACCAAAGCAGCACAAAATGACAGGAAGAGTCATGGTACACATAAAATTCCAACCATGCTAGGGCATACATATAATGTGCCGAATGTATGTTGGAGTTTGCAAATGTCACCACACTTGCACACAATCTCATACCGAAAGGCACACAATAGAAATTCATTCGATATAGGCATGGATATGGTCACATTCGCACTCACACAACGACAGCAGGCAGGCAGTCTCTTCTCTCTAATGTGACTCACAGGACAAAAAGGATAAAATGAACCGGATTTGATAATAAAGACATACAAACAATTGTGTGACTGCCTCACGCAACGGAACCGGTGTTCGGCAAACACATGCGCAGTTCTTCGATTCTCTTCATTGAATATTTACCTACGTACTCACGCATATGTACACATAAGTATATGGATGTGCATACTCATATGTGTATATTTAGTACCGATATACTTAGGTATATTGTATTGAAATAAACTCACCTACCTACAACAAAAACAATCTTTCATACATTGTATGAAAAATTCCCAAAATAACAATAAAACTATCTTCCAACAACAGCAACTTATCAAATATACCATACCAGGCAGCTCAATGCTAAAAGACAGTAAAAGAAAAGAGACGAATGTCGAAGTGAGAAATTGATCATTGTTCCACGTATAAAAGTGTTCGTTTATCCACACGACCTAAGAAATTCTGGAAGATTAAAAAGTAGTGCAATTAAAGCTTAGTGGGACAATAATATACACGCCTCCATCTACTTTTTTGTACAGTATGTTATAAATACTGCTGTTAAGTATGGGTTTATGTTCAACGTCACATATATTATATATACATGTTCGTGGACGTATCTAATAAAAATTAAAAATGTCCTAATTGATGTTCTGTCATTGCATGATGCAAGACGGTAAAAAGAACATGTATTTGTGGGTATCTGCAACAGATATTTAAGTCATTCAGGTAGGCTGTTTAACTGCGAGTGAATGCTGTCCACCAGCTGTCGTTCAATTATTGTTGAACCTTAAAAATACAGGAAAAGGCGGATACGCACACTGCTACAAACACATGCAACTGCATACCTACTACATTTGTATATATAGTATATACAATCTGTATGGTATATGCATTATATATAATATTCACAGCCACGGTCAAAATAATTTTATTTTTATGATTTCTTTCGTTTCCTTATTTCCTACGTTCTCCTTAAGAAAAGTGTCTCTATATGTAAGTAAAATGAAAAAAAATATCATAACAGTATTTCTTTATCATATTGAAAAAATTTGATATACATTTTTTTAACAATGGGACGAGGTAAGCACTGCGTGGCTTATTGGTGCGGACTTAAAAACAATTGTATTAAAAGCGAAAGCTTTAATAGAAATTGAAAGTTTAGGAAACCATGGATCGTGCTGTATATCTTTGAATTATGCAGGAAGTTAGTTCATCTGTGGTTTCAGAAAATTATAGATCATGGATTATTATCATCGAATAGTTTTCGTAGTTTCCACACCTTAAACCTAAATAAAACTTATGGTGCGACGTGCAGAAAACAGTTTTCAATGATAATTCAATAAATAATAGCCATTGAAAATCTCATTGATTCAATGCATCGGCGATGTGCGGTAGTTAAGGTGAACAAAGGGCACACTACTGTGTGACTAAAATAAAATAAATTAGAACAAATATAATATTATATATATATAACATAATATATGTATATATAGAATATAATATAATATATATAAAACATATAATATACATGAATTTCTTTAACATTCAGGGGTGTTGTAGAATCTGATAGTTGTCGGAATCAGAATTGTATGTAGTAGGTGTTATGAATTCAGATATTATTGGTTAACGTTTGAAACAAATTTTATCGGCTTTGGGTGTCACGGAAACCAATTTTATCGGTTTTGTTATCAGAAACAAAGAAAGAGGATTTTTGCTGACAGATTTAAAATGTAAGTTAAGAAAATAATTTATATTATTGTTAAGATTTAATTTATTGTTATTTCTATAGGAGAAAACATAAGAATAAAATAAAAAATGTCATAATTATAGAGTTTATGGAAAAAAATCAAGATATTTTAAGAGAATTTACAAAACGTAACAAACATAATTTTACACCCAAATGCGTCTTTATTCAGTCGATAATGTGATATAAATATGGAAAGTAAGCATGTATACAAACATACAAGTAAAGGCAAGCCAAATTTCACATGCGACTCCCCTGGTGCATCAGGTGGATTACTGTGCTCTTTCAATATATTCCTTTTATTTTTTTCATTGCTTTTTTTCTTCAAATAAAATAAAAGCTAAAATACCGGAACTCACTGTAAACTTTAGTAGACTTCATTCAGCATTTCAAATGTATAAAACGCTTCCTAATTTATTCATTTGAAAATTTTGTCGCATTATTAGACAGCCGCTCCGAATATTGGTTTTGCATATGTTTGAAAAGACGCAAATCCAATTCTGTGACATCATTCAAAATAAGAATTGGTTTGCAATTCTGACAACTACGCAAATCTGTCTTGAATTCCACAACACCCCTGATTAATTATTTCGCCGGTTTTTTAATCTCCTAAAATATAACTACTATTTTTTGAACGCCTATATGTGGCAATCCTTTCGAATTGATATATTAATAACATTCTAATGAGGCAGTCTTTTAACAGTTATTAGAATGTATATGGCATTTTTAATAAAGAAGAGAATTTTCTCAATAAAGCTTGTTTTTACAAAGGGAATAAGTGTATTAAACACGAAGAGGCAGAACCCAACTGTACATAAAATTATGGATATAGTCTCGCATGTACAGAAACGTTTTTTGCTGTTCAACAGAGAGCTCAAAGCGGAAATGGGGACAAATGCAACCGGATTCAATTCAACAGTTGACTCAAAAATCGACAGTATATCATTTTATGGCAAGAGAACATTTCGAGTTGAACAATGACATTTCTAAATTTTAACACCAAAATACTCTTAATCTAACATTAAAAATTACTACGAAAACCCAAATGACACTTGAAGCAGATGTTCAATGCTGCTGTAAAAGTTCGTCAAACAAAAATAAATCGTTGACTTATAATATACAAAAGAGCATATATACCCTCTATTGAAATGTAATCCGATTTTCATCTTTGAGTGTTTAAATAATGGTTAGATTTATAAAAGACTCAAATATGAACAGTTTCTAACAAGTATTAATATGATTGATATATCATAACTGTACTTTTCATGTAAAACTAATATTGATCTCTTCATACCATTTCATGTTGATGAAAGGTATATTTATAAAAGTTCCTCACAAAATGCATTTCTAGAATCAATTAGGATACATACATAAATCCAATGCGCATCTGTCGCTTGATACATCTTAGAAAATCTACCAATCACATGCATAAGTATAAACATACACTTAGTTTATATGTGCGTGCGTGCCTAAACCTAAAAGACGATTAAGCAAGTATAGGGCGATGACTGAGTTCGAAGGACAGATGTTTTTGCTTAGTTTAAACACTGCACCTGTTCAACATTCGTTAGGATCAAACAATGTGAATCCAAATACTAAGTAAAGAGCCCCGGTCCGTTGAGCGGCGAGTGGCAAAAGACAGCTGGGAATTTCTTTGTTCGCAATATTACATTAAATCTGGATTTACTTACACCAATGAAGTGGATGACCACATGCATGTAGAAACATGCATGGGATTTCATATTTATATGTACACATACACACATGTGGAGTACATGTAGTATATATATATATTGATTATTATTCTTAGGTTTGCAGGTATTTTCTTTAGAATTGAAGATATAAATATAAATTGAAAATCTAAATATTTATAGTGATTAGATTTTAGTTGTTATATAATATACCTTCACGAAATTTGGCATAGATTATTATCCAAAGCAACGGTACAATCTCTAAAAAAAAAAATGTTCAGATCGGACAACTGTAGCATATAGCAAACTGATCGATCTTGTATGGAAAAATGTTTAGTTTGACAAGGCATCTTCAAGAAATTATTGTATACGCAGATTATTACCCAAGCAACGGAAAAATCTCCGAAGAAATTTTTCAGATCGGAAAACTATAGCACATAGTTGATATACAAGCGGACCGATAAAACTAAAGTCCTTGTATGGAAAACTTTTTTATTTGTTATGGTATCTTCACGAAATTTGGCATAGATTATTGTCTAAAGTAAAAAAGGTATAATATCCAAACAAATTGCTCAGACCGAATCAAATCAAAACAAACATATTTTTGTTATACCCTTTCATGCTATAAAAATTGCACCTGTGAAGTTGAATCCTAAAATGAGATCTGAAACAATCGCAACACATTTACTATTTTACTTTTACGGCAAAGTTTTTCCATTCTCATCAATAATGACATCTGAAACAGCAGTGTAAAAAACGTTCTTGTAAAAAGTATTTGCTAACACTACCAGGCAATTATGGCAAAGTACTATGAGCGAGAAAAATTAAGTTATAAAAACTTATTTCAAACTTAACAAAGATTTGAAATTAATGTGTTCTTAAAGTTTCTAATATTTGCAGTAATAATTAAAGTCCAAAATTTATGTTTTTAAAAGTTAGAAATATATGTTTTTGGCACAAATCCCACAAATGAAATACATAGTTCCAAAGCCTCCTGAAAATGTTCATATAACCACTAGGAGTTTGTGTACTCACATCTCGAATTTCCTTAATTTTTTGGCCACCTTTGCCGATAATACATCCAGCAAGACTTTGATGAATCAGTAAGCGTACGTCGACCTCATCATCACGCTGTAAATGAATTTCATTCTGGTTATTACAAATTATACACATAAAATTTTAATCGTAACATTTAATAATTGGAAAATTTTTAAGCTTACCTCTTCGAAATATTTTAACATCTCGGTTACAATTTGCAGTGTTGCCTCAAGATCAGATGATATCAATATGGTGCTATTAGAAAATCGAAAGAAAAGGAGTAAATTTATTTGATAAATAAGATACAGTTTATCTTCTATATATGCGCGGCGTTCAGCAATTATCTTCAGACTTTATTTAGCTAAAGACCGGAATTATGTTATACCATTGCTTGTTACAAAATCTCAAAATTTATAGACTTGTTTAAGGAATGTAAATGTTCATAATAGTTGGCAAACCGACACAAACTCCTAATGAATACAACATTAATACTATCGACAATGGCACTGGTTGATTGGTTAATATTAAAAAATGTTGGTTATGAAGATTAATAAATTTCACAAATAAGTATTATAATGAGCCGTTGATCGATTTCCCAAAATAAATCTTTACAATTACTCCAATACCGATTGTTAATGAATGCATTGTGCAATAAATTTATTAATAATATACGAACGCACATACATAAATTTAAAAATAAATGGTATTGAATGCAAGCATCAATATGTGTAAGTACATGCAGCACAATTACTGCTGGCCATTTATCTTGGTGGATCATAGTTTCGTATGTTTTTGTTTGCACCACACAGTGGTTTGGGCAGATAAATGTACACGAAGATTTAACTCGGGCCAAATGAAGATACAGAGGTGTCAATTCGTGGTCGAGTTGTTATAGAAAGATGGAGCAAATTTTGGTACAAATAAAAATTAATGCATGACGCTGAAAAAATAAAACTAAGTTAAACCAGAATTATTGAAAAATAGCTAAATGTAAAAGTTAGATGAGCTTTCATGAATTCGTAGTTCAGTTTAAATATGTATTAGCATTATACTTAAATAATAAGAGGTTTGCCAAGTTAACTTGTTTTTATTTTCGGTGTGGTTTATGGTAAGTTATTCAAGTTCCAAAGAGCAGAGGTGATCTTTAAAAATCTCTGCAAAAACAGCACATAATCATTAGGAAAGGCAAAATATTTATTCAGAAATTTGGAATTTATATGGATGGTGATTGCTTTTTTACAAGTAATTAATTACTACTTTTGTTGATTAAATCGACTAACGTACTGTGTGTACGATAAGTTATAGTAAGTATATACGCATAAATTGTTCATACATGTCACAAATACTTTTAACTTTGCTACCTATAGACGCACGTCGTTTTTTTATTTAAAAATGTAAGAAAGAATTTAGCATAAGATAAGAGAAATTAATCCATTACGAGATTAGAGTGCAAGTATGTTAAAAAATACGAAATGCGAATGTACGATATACGACATACGGAATTTTGTAACGGAAAAACCAAAAAGTTAAAACATAAATATTACCTAGGTCTAAAGTTCTGATAAAGTACATATATTACTTTGATATTTCACAATCTTCGATTTAGATAAAAGGAATCTAAAATATTTTAATGGATAAGTGTTTACCGTTCGGGGCCTTGAGAATCGTCGACAGATACAGTGGCTTTATACTGCATTTGCATTGCATTGGTTGATTGGCACAGTGTTAGGTTTACGGATAACATTTGGTCAGGTTGTTTCATTGGTGGCGTACAATATTGGTGACGGTTTAGCAGTACAAGTGGTTGTTGTTGGTCAATTCGTGTTAAGAACAATTTTTAAAAATGTGATCATTTTCATTACCGGAAATCCCGAGAATTATTTTCACATTTTGGTGAATTGGTACGTAGACGAAATGCATTTTTGTTTATGGATCAGTTTTCATATTCAATTAAGTCAATTATATTATTTATTATTGTTATTATTATTATTATTTTAATGACAGATCAGCAATGATTGCAACACGGCACAGCGACATTCAAAATGTCATTGTGGATTTGAATATCAGAGTTGAAACAGATTTGTTGATTTAAAGAGTTTAGATATAGATAGATTTGTTATGTATTTTCCGAAGACACATCGATGTTGGCCAAACAGTCGTTTGGTGGTGGTGGTGGTGATGGTGTTCAGATTAGACCAGGGCCATTTCAGTTGTAAAACGGGCGATCGGGCGAGCAAATTAACGAGCAGGCGGGCGGGCAATCGGGCAGACGAATGGGCATTATTTCGTTCAATTTCAATTTATATATACATATAAATATGTATTAATACGGTATTTTTTGTTGGGTTGCCGTTGAGAATTTTATTTGAGAACAAACCAGTACGGGGCAGATCAAATCAGGCAGTAGATGGGCGATCGAGCGGGCAGTCACGGCAACGTATATATTTCAACGTTTGCGATTTGAGTTTTTACAATCGAATCGTTTCATTTCGAGTCGAATTTGTACGACACAGTTACATAAAACGAGAGAGTGGGACAAGAGAAAAGAGAAAAATTTTAATTTAGTTATGAGGTTAAGTGCAATGGCTTATTAAAAGAAATACAATTTTTTTTTCTTATTATACAGTAGAAAAATAGATCCTAAGTTTAAGTAGGCATACGATGCATTTTAGATTAAATAATCCAAAACTTTTAATACCAATAAACGTATGGAAAGCATAGAGAAAGAAATTATTCAATAATTATTATAAAATGATTAAAATGTTACGATCTAACTTGAGCGACCTATAATATCAGTTACCCAAAGTTATTTTGCTTTTAATTTGCAGTTATTTAAGCAATTAACATTCTTAATTTGTAATAAGATATTATTTTATTTTCTATCATCTAGTGGTGATTATTGGGTTAAAAATTTTCACAAAAATCTATTTTACTTGTAAAATGGTTTTATAGGGAGAATAATTTTAATAAAACTGTAAACGGTACGACATTCTTCTAATTATAAAATAATTTGAGGGTCAAATTAAAGCAATGGACGTCGGAATTTTTAAAAATTATTATTGAGCAATTAAAAATTAATTCATAAAAATATTTTACCTGAGTGCGCATTTTTTGAATATGCTGTCCCCCTTTTCCAATGACAGCACCAGCAATCTGAAATTGAAATATAGATAGATAAATGACTCCACAATTTTGGAACAGCAGAATGTCTACTTACATTACTAGGTATGAGGATACGTATTTGGTCATCATTGCGTCGACTACGCTTATCGACATGTGGGCCATCATCGTTATTTTCTCGCTTCATCTTCATTTTTTCTGAAAATAGATTAATTGAAATAGATTCTATATATAAGTTTGTATTGTATTGATATAATAAACGTGGAAGAAATTTCAAAGTTCGCAAATGCTATAAAAGGTTCTGAAAAACAAATAACCGCACATTTCCTCGAAAGTGTGTCGCATTTTGTCTGCCCTACGTCAGAGCTATCAAAGTTATATAATCGACATAATCGACAATATATACCACATTGAATTAACAAAACTAATTAATTAATGCGATTTCAAATATGTATACATTAACAATAAAGATTTTCCGATATCCCTTCAGCCTCACTAAATATGTAAAGCTAATGCACCAATAAATACTTTTTGAAAATAATAACAATTATCCATCTGATCTTTGACATAGTGTCGTTAATTTCATACAATTATTTTTGAAATTAAATATCTAAGTGTTGTATAAATAATTTTCAGAAAATGTTAGCACAATCCTTGGCCGAATATAAATCCTGAGCCGTTCCGTTTACGTGAAAGCGATTAATATATTTCCATGGCGTCGCTAATAACAAATTCCTGCTGCTTGTCGCGTTCTACGCCGGCCATTGCAGGCTCAATAAGCATCTATACAACAGCAGACGCAGAATTAAGGCCCTGGGATCCATGTTTCAAATAGGGATCGCATCGCTTCATTAGCACCTAGCAGTATATTGGAGTTCATCAATATGCTGGGGCTATATGAGTCGTTGTGACATAGGGTCGCGAAGCATACCTCTACTCAAATCTATCTATCTATCTATATCTATGGCGTCGGCAATTTTTTTAATCGAAATCATTATTTAAACAAACTTCAGTCATTATAAGAACACATTTGATTTGAATATTTTTGACAGAAACAAAAATATATTATACCAATGGTATGGTTGAATACAATCTTCATGACAATCTCATTAAGTATGTGAATTTAATTTACCAGGATGTAATTTAAAGGCAATTATAATTTATGATTTTAATACATGTATACTAGTCCACCGAGTGGTAAGACACGTAACAAATGCACCTGATTATAACAGTTTTATTAAAAATTATAAATCCTAAATATCTTATTATACGTTCTTTAAGTATAAGGATTTAATTTCTATAGGAATTTTAATTATTAAAAGAAATTATTATTGAAGCAATTCAATTTCATTTTAACCCAACACTTTTTTGGTATTCCGATTTTAAACTATTTTCAGCCGAAGTTTGACTGATGTTTGTTGTCAATCTAAAAATTAAGATTTGACAGATAATTAAACAGCTGAAAATTTTTAAACGAAAAATTAAAACCATTTAATTTAGTTATTGCTCACGAAAAGGGGAATAATTATTTTAAAAAAATATAAAATGGAAATTAGTTCTGATTTATAATACGATCACAAAAATGAAGGAACGTTACCCTATACTCTCCATTTCCATGCTACCGGTAGTTATCAAGAATGCATTTTAAATGATTTTAACTTAGGGCTGAAGCAATTTACGATATTTGTGGTTGTTATGATACCATATTTGTGCTCATTGGATAAAACACCAATGACTGAAGAGGAGCAAAACGCTTTTCTCAAAAAATATATTCCTAGGAGCAATAGATTGTATCAATTTTGTATGTTCGAAACAGTGTCAAAATTGGTTTGCCAAATTTCGTTCTGGTGATTTTTCACTCAAAGATGAAAAACGCTCTGGTCGTCCAGTTGAAGTTGATGACGACCTAATCAAACCATTCCCACGACAGTCGGGTCTACGTAACCGGAACGGACCCAGATTTTATCCGGTTAAGGACTGTCAACTCGGCAGAATTCTGCCGCTACAACAACAACGACCTAATCAAGGCAATAATCGATTCGGATCGTCATAGTACAACACGTGAGATTGCAGAGAAGCTTCAGGTATCACATACATGCAATGAAAATCACTTAAAACAACTTGGCTATGTTCAAAAACTCGATACATGGGTTTCTCACGAACTGAAAGAAACGCATTAGACGCAACGCAATAACAGCTGCGATTTGCTAAAGAAACGTAATGAAAATTATCCATTTTTAAAACGAATGATAACTGAAGCAGGCCAGGTGAACCAGCTCAAACAACAACAAAAGCTGATATTCATCAAAAGAAGATTTTGTTATCAGTTTGATGGGATTATAAAGGAATTGTCTACTTTGAACTATTACCACCCAACCGAACGATCAATTCTGTTGTCTGCATTGAACAACTAACGAAATTAAACAATGCAGTTGAAGAAAAGCGGCCCGAATTGATAAATTGAAAAAGTGTTGTATTCCATCATGACAATGCAAGGCCACACACATCTTTGGTCACTCGGCAAAAATTATTGGAGCTTGGTTGGGATGTTTTGTCACATCCACCATATAGTCCTGACCTTGCAGCATCGGATTACTTTTTGTTTCGATCTTTACAAAACTTGAAAAATTTCAATAATGATGATGATGTCAAATCGTACCTGATTCGGTTTTTTGCTAATAAAAACCAGAAATTTTATGAACGTGGGACTATGATGCTGCCTGAA